CAGCTGGGGATGGTAGTCAAACGTAGTCAGCTCTGGGTCTAGGTGGGATCTGAGATTCTGCAGAGCTAACAAGCCGGCAGGTAATGCCAGTGCTGCTGGCCAGTGGGCCCCGCCTTGAGTTGCAAGGTCCGAAACAGCACTGACCAACAGGAATTTCCCCAAGGATGAAAATGTTCTATATCTACACTGTCCGTACACACAGATACTACCGAGCGCTTGAATTTCGGTTAGTCCAGTGGAGAAAGGGAATTTGGAACCTTAGGCTACCATGTTCAAGAGTAAGGCCTACGATGTACACGCTCCATGAAGAAAGGCAGCCGTGTCTGGAAATGTGGAGCCCAAGCGAAGAATTACGGATCCCTCCGAATTCTTGGCCTGAGCAGCGCTTTATAAATTGCACACCAGGAAAATCCCATCAGAGGCCCAGTTGGCCACCATCTCGGGAGTGGATTAATATTTACCTAAGGCGGGGAGGCAGACACAGCCATTTTGCGACTTCAGTGACTAAAGCATGTGGTAACCCACAGACGACCACCTTCACCTCACGACTCAATTACACACTATACAAAGCCCTCCTAACCACAGCCCCAAGCACACTTGACCAATGCCATCCCCGGGCATCCGCGGTGCTGGACAATCTTAACAGCCAAAGCCCTCACACTGACTTGGTTTATTGCATGGATTTCTTTCTAGACGTCTGCCTCACTGTCTTCAGTTGCAGGTTCCTTCAAAGACAGAACTTAACTCCGCTTGCTATTCCGTTCCCATCACCCAGCGAGCAACAAGACTCAATGAAAACTGCATGACAGAGCCTGCAACCCACCAGGAGTACCATTAGTATTTCCACTGTTAATCACAAGAAACAGGGAAACTGAATTGCGGGAAGGGGGGGAATTACATAACAGAAGATCATTTCCTCCTTAAATGACTCAAAAATTTCCAAACACATTAAGTCCAGATTTCAGAACACAGCATAAATAAGGTGGCCCTATTTGACCACACAACCTCATTTCCAAAAACTCAAACCCATGGACAAAAAAAAGATGATGTCCTTCTGACAAAAGACCCAAGATCTGGTGGGCTGGGATTTGGAAGAGCCCTCTTCACAAACAGCTAAGATTCAGAACCACATTCTTGCCTGAAAAACACATGGGCCAGGTTCCCACTCTAACTGCTGGGAGGGGCATTTGGCCCCAAGGACAGCAAGGCCCCTGGGAATCTGGGCAGCCCAGATGCTCATTTTACCCCTGCAGTCAGAACCCTGTGCTTGTGACAGCAATGAGATTTCCAAGGTAACCAAGGACAACATAGTAGAGAATTATGGCCCCGGAAGGAAGTAGATTAAATTTTAATACTTACGAGTCAACATCAAATTTATTTTTAAAACTACGTATCTAACAAAGCCAAAAAAGCAAAACAGAATGGATGGTGCACTACAGGAGGGTTTTATAATCACGAATATTCCAAGTATGTACACGATTTTTTCCTATTTTGAGAATATTTTAAAGTGCCTAGAGACTCGAAGAAACCGAGACAGAAATAACATCCCCCCCAAAGAGGGGAAAAGCTCACTTTTCAGAGTTATGCCACAACTACTTATTTTTTTCCATTATTTCCAAAAACACAGGGCAGATTCCATCTAGTGGTAGCAGCAGACTTTGCTAAAAATGTGCACAATAATTACTTCACCCAGAGAAAGTGATCACCGGGAGAGTATTTTAAAACATAGCTATGTGCTGATCTGCTGCGAAGACAACAAACTGGTTAAAAAAAAAAAAAAAAGCATGGGTTAACAGACATAGTTTTTCCATTCACGTAACTCATTCAACCATTAATCCATTTCCCCGACTCTTCCTAACTCCCATGAAAATCCCATATTGGTGCAAAAGCCCTCACCAGTTTCCACGGATTGGCTATAATATAATCTGTTAAGCAGTTAGCGCTTACTAAACCAGTCATCTGTGCGGTACAGTGCTGTGACTACCTCGGTAAACCCGCCCCACAACTCTCTGAAGAAGAGAAGTATTGTCATCCAGCATTTAGTGCTGGGGCGAGTGAGAAAACGTTAGGTATCTCACCCAAGTTCAGACAACTGGCAAGTAGTAAGAGTCTGAACTTGAACTCACGTCTATCTAAAAATAAGGAATTCAGAGAAAACATCATTTTTTTTTTTTTGAGAATTCAGCATTATTAGAAGTAATAAAAAACAGGAGCACCTGGCTGGCTCAGTCAGTGGAGCACGCGACTCCTGATCTCAGGGTTGTAAACGCAACCCCACCTTGGGTGTAGAGGTTACTTTAAAATAATCTTAAAAAAGAAAGTAACGGGAAACAGCAACACTTCTGAAAACAGCACAAAGCCAAGTTCAATTCCAGCTTTTCAATTTACTAGGCTCTATAACCTAGAGCAGATTATCCTGAGTCTCAATTTCCTCATGTATAAAGCCGGGATGAGAAACAGAGGTAACAAATGTGACATTTATAGTATAAGATAGGGACCCAGTAAGTACTAACAGTCCAGCCGCAGGTATGCATATCAAAAAAGCACACTGCAGTTGTACAGTGATTTTTATCAGACACAACCTATATGGGGAATAATGGGTTCACAAAGCTTTATCAGTTTAAAATTAATTTGCTCATTTCATGACTCATCTATTTAAACATGGAGCCAAGAGCTTGCGAATTTTAAGTTTATTTTATTTCTGTTAAATGAATAACAAGTCACAATACCCACTCTCTGTCTCACTTCAGTATGAAAAGTAAATGGTTGTTGAAAACCAAAATATGTGGGCATCACTTCTTAATAAGAGTGTATACGGAAAAACTTTTGGTAATGGTAATGAACACTGACCATCCGGGAACAGAGCATCATTTAAAGGAATCCAAGTGATTTCTGAGAGAGTAAACACCTTTCAAATGGAGTTATCTCATACATCCAAACTCACAAATTTCATCATCATAGTATGAATAGTGGCTTTACTTAAAGTGAAGACAGACCTGTAACGATTTCAATTTTTTTCATTTTTGAGAGTTTAAACAATTTGTGTGCTTCAACGACAACATGGAGCAAGCTTGCAATTTAATAAAATGACTAAATCCAGTCTCTTTTTAATCTGCTCAGTAACTGAGCTCTCGGGTAATCTCCTGCACAGCTTTGGAATTATACACAGCAAACTAAAATTAATCAGAGGAAGGGGATGCCCATTTTAAGAGCAATTCCTATTTGCCTAGCTTCCCAGCATCTGCCAGTGGTAATATTTAAGTGACAAACTGCAACGGGGAAAAGAAACAGAACTTTACACACAGTCAAGCCTTCTTTAAGGCATCATGTACAAAGCTTCCTTGCCTAAGGAAATGCTCAGCTACTTGATTGCAATCCTTCCATAGACATTATTAATAGTGTATTCTCAAAACATCGAGAAAATGTTCCCCTTGCTTTTCAACCAGTACTTCTGGAAAAACTTCTTTGGGTCATCCCCATCTCTTCTTTCAAAGCCATCTTTTCATGCCTTGCTGACACAAGCAGAATTAAGTGATGTGGGATTACAGAACTCACTACAAAAGGTTTACATGAAGCCCTCCTCCACCAAAAAAAGAAGACAAGGAAGGAGGGAGGGCCAGACGATACCCTAGGTATACTTAAAACATTCAGAATGCTGAATCTATTACTTATAATTTTGCCTATTATTGACTGTTTATGTCTACAAAGAAAAAAAATTCCCATTAAAGGAAACATTCTGGATTTTCCCCCAAACAATTCCTAACAGCAGCTGCTTTGTTCAAGAGGGGGAAAAAAAAATTAATGGGATCACTTAATTAAAAGCTCTGTGGTGACCTTCCCTCACTCACTCTAGCCCAATCATCATCTTCTAAAATCCCTACAATACCCCCATTTTAAGGCTGTAACTTGACATTCTGGCCACGAGAAATGTAATCATCTATTCTACACGGGCACACGTGTGGCTGGTAAACCGATTACCTATGATGAGCCAAGCAGAGTGCGAAGCACCTTACACACGGCGTCTCTAACCTTCCTAATAAGCCGGGAAAGGAGGTATTACTAGTCCCGTTTGCTAGGTAAGGAAAATGAGGGCAGACAGGTGAGGAGCTGCCCCACACCACACAGCCAGCGGGGGCCCTGGGTCAGAAACTCGGCCCTTCACCGCAGGCTGCTGGGATTGTGGACCTAAGCTTGTTCATTCCCAAGTGCTCTCTCCGCAGGATGTGGAGGGCTTACCAGTTAGCACTAGGCATGATGACTTTGCACCTTGAAAGCACTTGACTAAAATCAGGCCTTTTCCAGGCTGATGGGGAGGGAGGCGATCAGGGGTTCAAGCAGGTGAGACACACGCACCTGGGGGAGGCTATCAAAGATCTTGGGAGCAGAAGCCCCGGCCCCGCACACACACAGCTCCCCGCACTCGGCTCCCGGGCGCGGCGAGAACGCGCTCAGGCCTTCCCCGCTAAGGTGTGCACACCTTTGCTGGACCGCCGGGGTCCTCCCGCCCGCCCGACCGTGGGGCAGAGGCGGCGAGGGCTGCAGCGGGGCTCGGAGCACACGGCTGCGCCGCGGGGCAGGCTGTGGCCAGGAGCTCTTCCAGAACAAGTGGGAGATGGGCGCCCAGGGAGGGTGGGCGAGCCTACGACCCCCGCCGCGCCGGGGGTCCCCGCTCCCCGCCCACCCCGCCTTCCCAGCGAAAGTTGGCCGCGCCGCGGAGAGCCGCCGGGCCCCGGGCCCCGCGGGGGAAAAGAGCCCGGGGGTGGGGGGGTCTTAAAAAGGCCCAAGGTAGCCATCAGCCATCTCCTCGGAGCCACCTACACGGAACAAAGGGCTTCTGTGTCGGGAAGGGGGGACCCGGCCGCGTCAGATTTTGAGGAAAAGAAACTTTTCCCGGGCTGCGGGCGCCGGGGGCAGGCGCGGGGGCGGGCGGCGGGCAGGGCGCGGGGCCGCGGGGCCACCTGAGGCCGGGGCCGCCAGCCCGCCCGCCCGGCGCCGCTCACCTCCTCGATGGCCGCCACGGTGTTCCGGCACTGCGCCGTGCGCGTGGTGAAGCTCGAGGCCGTGGGCGCCTTGTAGTCCTCATGGGTCTCGGCCACGAATTCCGACACGGAGATCTGGTCCGGCATCGCCTCGGCGCGCGGGCGCGGGCGGCCGGCCGCGGGCGAGCCGCCGCCTCAGCTGCCGCGCGGGCTCCGACCTGCCGCTCGGACGCCGCCGCCGCCGCCGCCGCCGCGCCCGCAGCTCGCCCGGCCCGCGGACAAAGGGAAGCGCCGGGGCGCGGGCCGCGGCCGCAGGAGCCGCAGGAGCCGCCGCAGGGCGCGGGTCGGCCGCCCGCGGGGCCAGGCGGCGGGAGCAGGGGCCGCGCGCGCCCCCCCGCGCAGCTCGGGCCCGACCGCTCCGCCCGCCGCGCCGAGGGCTCCGCTGCCTGCCTTGCCCGAGCGAGACCCGAGGCGGACGCGCAGAGCCGGCGGGAACTGAGGGCCACCCAGCCGCGGGCCCTGAGCGACTCCCGCGGAGAGGGGCGGGTCCGGGCCGGGGGCGGCGGCCGGCGGAGCGCGGGGCGGGGCGGGGCGGGGCGGAGGGCCGGGCCGCCAATCCGCGTGCTCGCCGCCGCCGCCGCCGCCGGGAAGCCGAGCCTGCAGGAAGGAAGGCGGCGCGCGCCCCGGCCCGCCGAGGCGCTCTCCAGCCGCAGCGCGCCGCATTGTCTCGGCGTCCCGGGGCCCCGCGTCGCGCGCCGTGCTTCGAGGGCGCGCCCCCCGGGCCTGGCGGGCAGGCGAGAGCCCAGTCGTCCCGATCTGGGCCGAGCCGCAGCCCACCCCTGTGGACCCTACCCCACCCGGGGCTTGGAACCTTCCTGGGGTCCCCCCCGCCAGGACCGCCGGGAATGCCCGTCCGGGCGAGGGAGAAAGTATGAGCAGCTCGCCCCCTGCCGGACGGTGCCCCCCCACCCCGGGCCCGCACTGCGGGACAGATGCGTACCGCGCCCCGCGAGGCAGCACCCCCTCGCCAGTTTGGGGTTCGGTAACAGTCACACTAAATGAGCATATGGTGAGTGCTCCCGCGCTCTCCGTAAGGTCGCCTCATCCTCGCAGCCTCACGAGGCACGGAAAGCGAGGGTTACTTGCTTTATACAGAGAACAGTTTGCCAGAGAGCACACAGTGAAGGCCCCCGGGGCGGCGGGGACTCACATTTAGTCTCGCTGCAGAGCTCACAAGGCCCTAGTGAATGTCCCAGTCGTGTTCCCTAAGCTTACAGAAGCATAGATCTTTCTGGGTTCCTTGGGAATAGTTTTAGGGTGCTAGACCAGGACCCATCGGGGGGGGGGATAACTGGATGCCCCGAGGTGGAATTTCTGTAGGAAAGGCAGGGAACCCCGGGAGGGCATGGGAGCCCAGAGGAAGCTCTTTTTCATGTGGTTTCAGAGAGAACATGCAACAAGGGCAGGCAGATCTCGTACATAACTGGGCCAATACAGAGTTTGAATTCGTAAACAGATTTTCACCTAACAGCTCTTAAGGAAACTTTTACTAGTTATTTTTTTAAAAATCCAGAAGCTCTGAAGACACTAGTCCAATCAAGTCACATCCTATAACTCTACACCAGGCATGTGGCGTGGTTTCTGTAGCTGCCAGCCATGAAACCAAGAGAAACTTGACAAAAACCTTTTGTGCATCTGAAAAGGAGGAAGTGTGAGAGACACTGGAAATTCAATATGTCAGACAAAGCGGTCTCCTGACAAAGCTGCAGGACAGTGGACCAAACAATCTTTTTTTAAGCTCCCATGTAAGAATTCGCTATATGACATGGCAGCTTGGGTCAGACGTTATGTATGGCCTTTGGTATTTTAGTAGCATTTAGTGAAATTTAGCTGTCCGGAATAGCCGTATTAGTGGATAGCTTTTATGAATGACTTCACCAGGCAATAAGTTACAGTTTTTAGAAGAATAGCATCTCTGCTTCTATCTTTTATGTGTTTTCACTCTTCTGGTGCGTTTGGTGGGTTTCCTCTATATGCAAATTTGTACAATCCAAGTCCTGCCCATATTTATATTAATACATCCTCCCCTACACCAGGCCAACTCTGTTTTCCTCCCAGCTAGTTTTCCAGCGACAGCTTTCGTTGTCGACATTGGAGACTATTCTGGTTAATTTTTCAAGTCTTGACTTTTAGAAGACTAATGTCTAGCAGGCCCATAGGATTTAAGACAAGGAAGTCGTGTTTTTCCTTGGTGTCTAGTACAGCGTTATCCAGACTGATCAAGACTTCTTTTGCAGGGACAAAGTGGAGTGTGATGTTCTTTTTCCGCTCTCTCTTCATAGGCCATTCCTGTATTTGTTTCCTGTAGTTTAATATAACTTTTCAGGTATCTTTACAGGAACCTTTAGTAGCCACAGAAATAAAATTGCAAAGCTGCATTGCATTATACAAGTGGATAGGAGGGCTGGTGGGAAGCAAGTCATTGTCAGGTCCATTGGTGGTGCAAAGAGGACATTTGTGACAGAACACGAAAGCAGTGTTCTCACAGACACCCCTGAGAATCACAGAAAACCTTGTTCCATGCAAACGTGGGGAATTAAAGCAAGATCAGAGCAAGACACAGCTCATGTGCCTCTAAGATTAATACAATGAGAATGAGTAGTTCCCAAAAAAGTATAAAATTAAAGTTGAACGTGGCTTGAGAAAACATTACACACATACACACACACATTTTTTTAATGCATGAAGGGAAGAACTTGCAGATAACGTCATTAAAGGCCTGCACTCCCTGTATCAAGATCTTTCACATCTAAACAGCACTGAAAACCTAAAGTTTTGAAAATCTCAGTTGTGAAATTGACCTGAAGTGAACTGACGTGAAGCTTTATAGTCTTGTTTATCCCACGTCTTATGAATATTCATGTTTTGTTGCAAAATATAAATGTGCTTGATTATGGGGTATTGCCCCAGGCCCTATTGGGGTCGACTCAGAATGTCCAGTGTATGTGCTGTATTACCATTCTAAAAACTGGAAAGTTCTAAATTCCACACACATCTGGCCCCAGGAATTTCAGACAAGAGGTTGTAGTCTTGTATTACTTAAAAATAAAAAATAAATAAATAATTTTAAAAAAAGAAGAAGAAAAGAAAAGAAACTTGGTGTTGCAGACTTGTCATTTCCAGGGAACAGGAAAGAAACTCTCCTCTCAAAAATGACATTTTCAGCAGCTTGCTGAGACTGGCCAACAGCCCATTTTCCAAAGGAATTTTCTGTCTCCAGTAGTTCTCAAGAACCTGGGATTTTTCACTCTCAGGTCAAGGTGTAAAATGTGTTCCTAACTCTGTTTTCGAGGGTTGGCTGGTTTAACACAAGACTTACCCAGTTCACTTGCTATTAATTTGTGAACAACTACTCTTAGAATGAGTAGATCTGTGCCTTTTAAAGAATTATGGTAAACAGTATAATGAAATAAGGAGGGAAAAAACCCCACAACAACCCTAGTGATAGAACATGTAAGTATAACCAGAAGTTTCTTTTCTACAGCTTAACAACATTCTCCCCAAAACAGTATTACTAAAGGGAGGCACTTATCCCAATGTGAGAGAAGTTTGAATACGTGTACCGCAATGATCTCACCTTGCACTTGAGGGGGAAAAAATTAGCACACAGAAACTGGTTTACAAATGAAACCTTGAGTTTTGATATCAGTTTTGCTTCTCTGTGATTCTGATAAGTAAATTAACCTCTCTGAACTCAGTTCATTTGTAGAATGAAAGAAGCTGGATTAGCTAGTTTTGAATGCCCTGATTCCATGATCCAGGTTTCATGTTAGTTTGGGCACAAAAGGGTGTCACAAGGGCCATATTATTACTGAGAATTTAATCATTGGTCCTAGACATGTGAGAACGAGCATGTTTTGGAGGATGTTTAAAGCTAATTTTTGAGATGTCATCTTGTTAAACTGATAAGTTTAGATGACAAACTGATTTACTCATAGCTGACTTCATATTAAGATACATGAGGTCTGTTCATTTTTTTGTTTTAACAAAACAGTTTCTCTGGGTAACAGTCTGATTGCTGAACTGCAAGAGACAGTTCTAGAAAATTGAGGCATACTCGGCACGATGCCGAACCAGCTAGAGCTGTTTGCAAAGAATGGACAGTTAGATTCTCAGAAAATTTGCAGTTGATTGTGTCTGTATGGTAGAAACACTATTCTAGTGGTGTGCTACTACACATCTCTTCCCTGGTAGTTTGAAATCGTCCATGGTGGGAATATTCACGAAGGCTAAAAACCAAGGTTTTATTTATTGTCGTGTTAATTGTCTAAACTTAAATAAGCGGTAGAGAAAATGTTAATAACGCAGATTAAAAGCATGTCATGTCTGTAACCCTTATGTTGTGAACAGTGAAAACATCTGAGGTCATGTTCTAGTATTGGTAAACGGATACGATTGAGCGAAGAGTCGATCATGTCATTGACAGATGATGAAGCTGCAACATACATCTTTATGGCTTCACTTTTGTTTTACTTATTCACATGGACAGAAATATCAACCAACATTCATGTCAGAACTATATTCATTTGTCAATGACATGAGCCACTTCTCTGAGCTGGATCATAATCAAGCACTTATTCATAGTCTTATTTTGTCAAATCATGGTTGAGTCGCACACACCGATTGCCGTGAATACAAGAGTTTGAAAAGAAATGAAAGCATTCTGTGAGAATCAATTAGCTGTATGGAATTTATAATCAAGAATATTGTATAATTTGGTATTATTTATAAATTGTCTACTGCATATCCCTTATATCAGTGAGAGTTAAAATAAATGTATGCATACACACATTCCACCCCCCCCACCCCAGCAGTTGTTAAACATTTACCAGCCCACTCCCGAGTATAATTGTATCTTCCCTGCCAGGAGGCAGAGCATGAGACCTTCCCACTCTGAGTCATGCCAATAGGATCAAGCCGGAGTGGGACAAAAACCTCAGTAAATTGGACTGTACACGCAAAGGCAACTTGTGTTAATAAAAATTATCTTAGGGTAATTAAGCAAATGCCATTTGTTGTTTTTAAGTACTTAGAACAACACAATTAAGTGCCAACAGAGGGTGTGGTCTGTTTTAATGAAAAAGCAAAGAAAGTTTAATTAGCACTCTGCATGCAAATAGATTTTGCTAAAGAGTGCTTGCGTTAATTTATTTTCTTGCTGC